TGCATATTCAGGTATGATACTGTTATCCCTATCGTCCGTTTTTAAATTTATTAGGTCGGTCCACAATTTTTGAGAACCTTTGGTGTTTTTCGATTTATTACTTATCTTATTTCTCTGATCTACTTATCCAGCATAGTATACATCATTATTATTAACAACATATCGCCAATGCGAGGGTGGGTATTCAGTGCCTCTCTTGTGGACTTTCATAGAGTTCTGATCGAAGGAAAATTGTAGTCCCGAATCAGTTCTCAACCCAATCTGACATCATCAAGTTCCTGTTGGTTTCCCATAGTTCCTTCGGATGACCATCTATAATACTCATTGGTGATGTGGACTGGGTGCAGTGTGCTAACAAATCCACGAGCCGCAGTAGATTTGCTCAAACGATTCGGGAGTTCTGACAGTAAAACCCAACTCCCTCTGAATTCGAACTTCCTGAGTCGTTGGCGCAATACGGGAGGGCCTTTGCGCTGAAGACCGGCATCAACTAATACCAGTGTCAGTGATGGGAAGAATCGTTGACAGCTTGATGGCAACGCCTTCAACTTGAAAGCAAAGGAAGACAAAATCTATTTTTTTTCTGAGGTCGTTCGAGCCCGCCTTGCTAAGAAAATTCCTAAAAAATTGGAGACTCTCGGGCGGTCAGTTCTTTTAGCTCCGCCTTGTAGCACTAATCCTGCGTCAACGAACGACTATCCGCTCCTCTCTCAATCACCTTCTGGAGAAGAAATCTCACTTGAATCACCATAAAGTCAAAATCGACATCCAATATTTCTTCGATCAGAACTCTATGAAAATTCTACAAGGTACTTTGAAACCTACCTCGCTTGATGAAATTTTTGCTCAATTAGTGGTAGTTAATTGTGGCTGAAGAATACATAGAGAGAAACAAGATAAGTATTACTCGAAAAACAAAAAGTTCTAAAATTATGGACGCGTGACATAATATTGTTGATTTTTTAAAAATATATAACGGAAATGCGAAATTGATGAACTCCGATGTTCAACGGTGACCATATTGAAGGAGATTCCATCATTAAAAAAGCGATGCGAAATTGGGTCCGGCCTGGGCCTGGTTGGGAGACAGGCGGACCTCTGAGGAGCGGATCGACGCGCAATTGGCAGCGAAAGATTTGACCTCGGCGATCTAGCATGGCTCACTCTTGGCGCAGTTGGCGCGGTGTGCCCACCGACATAGCAGAGAGAGCGTTAGCGTTGAAGAGAGCACGATGAGAGTCACATCAATGCGATCAGCTATTTGTCGTGTTCCAGGGCATTTCTCATGGTTTTTCCTTCCTCTTCGTATCACGGACCATCCTTAAAGGAGGATTCACGATAAGAACGAAGGTCAAAGAAGGGGAAATTGCATAGTTGGGAGACAGGCGGACCCTGAGGGTGCTGACCGACGCGCAATTGGCAGCGAAAGATTTGACCTCGGCGATCTAGCATGGCTCACTCTTGGCGCGGTTGGCGGGGTACGCCCACCGACTATCTAATCACTCGCCGCAGGTCTATACGTAACGAGTGATTGGATAGCAGAGAGAATAATAGCACCCAACACTAAGAAACAGATATGGAATAGTGGGCGGGCAAGCGTAAGTGGATCCAAGTTCTAAGCGCCTAGTGTCTTATATTGACGCGTTTAGAGACACGCAGTGCCGCGAACACTGCAGTTTTGAACATAGCACCTATATCCACAGGAGGGGATTCTTCACTGAGGCTGAGCCCGACCCTTGCCTAGGTGGGAGCTGGGCTAAGGTGAAGCGGCAATTCCCCGGTGGTGCGATCAGTAGCTCAAATGCCCGAAAAGCGAGAGGTGCGGGTTCGATTCTGCCTGGGAAGAAGAGTTTTACCCATATCCCAGCATTCCAACTTTCGTAGGCAAAGTAGGCGTCAAACAGCTTAACAAACAAGGCAAGTCAAAACCTACAGCACTATTCTACAATGACACATATGTGTGCAATGTGCATACAATGTGCTTAGCACCTCGTCAGAATTGTGCAATTTCGAAGCGAATAATAATCCGGCGTCCACCTGAGGTATTCAGAGTCATCGTGGCTCTTCTTCTTTAAAAATTGAAGGAGTGAGGAGGACAGGGAAGTGAAAGAAGTAGTGTTTGTTCCTGTGGAATCATGTGCATATTATGGGTGGGAGAAAACCATGAGCCAAGTATCTGTAAAGACTTCTGATTTTGTGATCCAGAGTTGCGCGCAGCAAAACAATGTAATCTACATAAATCTGCAGTATTGCGAGATCCGAAGCAAATCTACCCAACTGGAAGCACTATGTGTAGCGCTAATGGTGCTGTCATCGTCTGAGGTCTAGAGTGAAGAAGTCTTGCGAATGGAGACGGGAACCCGTGTAATTCGGGCCAAGGTCACTTTCTGAAGCCCGTTTCGTCGCCAAGCTGCGTCCGTCCAGCATCAGGCATTACAGGACGAAACGGCAGTCCCAGACCGCAAGATTTATCCGGTATTCACTATGACCTCCCTCAGCTTGTGTCCAATGCGTCGTCCTTGTTCGAATGCTAAGAAAGGTATTACATGTTCAGATTCCCACCGTACAACTGAAACAAATGTTGGCGGCGGAATTGCTTCCACGTAGTGTTTGGAATGCTGCCCACGCCGAAGTAAACTTGTGACTCCTGCTTTACCTATTGCAAACATTTTACATCTTCATTGCCCCAAACTGACAAGTCGTTTTCTAGCTCACATGGGAGTAGAAGGCGCAAGCTTTCGTGCCAGTTCTTCCTTGTTTCGTTTATATAATGTAGTAAGTTCCTGTAACATTTATATAACGTAGTGAGTTCTTTGCACTCAGCGACACCAGTAGTGGGATCTTAGTGTGATCCGTGAAGATCCGCACAATTATCGCGCTCGAAACACGTAAGATATTATTCCAAAACCAGGCAATTCCTCCAATTTTGTCTAATACACCCTCCTTTCGTAAAACATTCACCAAGTTCGTCAAAAAAAACCTTTTAAATGTGAACCACTTTTACCCACATCCCTTCGCACTTCTCCAAGGATCACTCACCTCGCTCAACCCAAAATGCGATCCCCTCGTTCGAATAGTGCGAACGAACGGTTGACACTGGTCGGGAGGAGGGTCAAACACGGATGCTCGCGGGGACTTGTCTCCAGTAGGTGAATGGGAGAGGGAAACGCTGGAAGAGAACATGAGTTTGAACCGTCCGAGCAAAACCACAGCGATTCTCTCCTATGAACTGCGGAGAAATGGGAGCAAATTTGCATTTTTATGAGTAAGAAAAAAGAAAGTTCTTCGTGGCACTAAGTGCCACTTTATTCTGCAGGTGTTTATCAATAGTACCAGTGCCAGAATGACTAAACCGCGAATGTATCCATGAGAATGTAACACATACATGAAGAAAACAAAATAACGCTTTATAACGAAACAATAACAAATCACTCGTCATCTCCCGATGCTTCACCTCCTTCCGCCTTCTTCATGTTACGTCTCTTTACTCGTCCTGGTCGGCCACCACCGAAGGGCGATTTCAGTGAAAAGTCGATGTGTTTTTGCGAATCCAAACGAACGATGAATGAAGGCACATCCACAACTTGACGTCGCACACTGAAACAAAAGTGCTTCTTAGTAATGAATAAGAGCATTAGAATGAATCAAGAAAGAGGCTTCAACTTCTCCAAAAAAATCTGAAGGATCCAGCCCCTAGAGGCAAATTTTGCCACATAGTTTGGCGGATATGGATGAGAGAAATGACCCCATGAATCATGCACTATTATTCTCCTCAAAAGTCTGCGGATTGCTAATCTGCCCGAACAGGGGCTCGTGATTACTGTGATCTCATACACTCAAACTAGTGCCACACGTCACTGGTTGATTTGCGTCCTTCCTTCCTGACAGTCAAAGTACGTAATCAAGAGAATAGGGGGTTCAAGCAGCAGACAGTCGCCACACGATCAATGTCGGGTCTCACAGCAAAATCCTGCTTCCCTCTACCTCGGCATAGGAAGGATGGCAGGAGGGAGGGACGCGTCTCCCTGAAAGGAGGACAGCATTCGGCTTTTGGCATAAGCTCAGCCAGCTGCCATTCCCTAACCCTGTGTTTTTAGCTTTCCGTGGCATAGAAATGGAGGAAAGGTAAGGTGGTTCAGGTAACCTTCCTCATCAGAGGGAGAGGAAGAATCCTCAGAATTTCTATAGGAAATCGTTTCTTCACTTTAGACCTTTACTCTTGCAAGCAAACATGCAAGCACACCTTTTTGTAAGGGAACTCCGGAAAAACGAATGAAACTTAAGGTTTCTTCTCCTACCTCTGAGAATTACGAATACGACCACGTATGTACCTCCCCGCCGCTTCCTCCTGAATGGTCTACCTCGCCAACATGTCTTGACAATGGTTCGCACGCACAAGTAATACTTTTGCTTAAAAATTCAAAAAATTTCAAAATTTTTGAAATAGAACATATGAGGATCTACCGCTTACATCCTAGCATTAAAATAACCTCAAGTTTAAGTGAAGTAGGGTAGGAACACCACAACATCCACGATCCTCTTCTCTTCCATACAATCACAACAATGTCCCGCTTCTCGCAGAACAATTCATACCGACCTTTCTCATCCAATTTCTTACGAATTTGTCGCAGCGCAGAAAAGTGAGCAATCGTTTAGCATTTGTGAACGTTGGCAACAACGACCCAATTGGAAGCTTCGGATTTCAACAAAACGTGGTACCATTGATCAAAAGAAACAGTTATACTTTCAAATGGCGGTTTCTCACAAATAACTTAAAGAAAGCATTGCTGGGAATATCTTGGAATGTTCCCTCTTGTAAGCATAACGGAAATACATACAAACTAAATTGAAGTATCAAGAGAACACCCATATAAGCTTCACACGTCACGAAAATGATTTAGTGATGCGCTGGTACAGGCATTTACTAGAGAAAGAACCACCAAGAATTGTGGAGATGTAAAAGTAAAACTGATTGAAGAAAATAGATAGTAAGACTTCTACATCACTTCCGAAGGCGATATTATTGGCATAAGAGCATAAAAAAATCAAAGAAAACGAACCGGATATGACTGTGTCTGATGAGGACACGTGCATGGTGAATCGACTTCGCCAATCCAAGCTTGAAAACCTGAGTCTGCAGACGTCTCTCGAGGAAGTCCTCCACACGTAGACCAAGGATGTAATCGAGTTTCATACGGTCCTCTGGGAGTACTCCAATGCGCACAAGACGGCGCAAAAGAGCGTTTCCTTCGAACAGTCTTTTGGGATCCTTCTCTTCCAAAGTGAGCAGTTCACGAGCAGCCTTACGGACTTTAGCCAAAGTGTACTTCACCCGCCACACCTCACGCTTGTTCTTGAGACCGAACTCACCAATGAG